GAAGGTTTTTTCTATTAATTATTTGCATAGAAAATATCTCCAGAAAGATAATATTTCAGTCGCGGGTTAGCGACATTCATTTAACTAATATTCATTAATTACTAATTATTTACTACATAAACTAGCAAATAAAAACAAACAAGTCATTTCAAACAATTTTTAAAAGAACTTTTTTTTTATAAATTAAATTTTTCTAAAATAATGTTTCTTAAAAACCAGAAACTTTTAAAATTATTCTCTTTAACATGTAGAAATGATTAAGAAAAGTAACATACTCTTAAATTTTACCGAAGCAAAATTAATTAAAATTTTCACGTTAAATGTAGCGTTTTAAAATAACATTTAAATTTATTAAAAAGGCGATTGAATCCAAAAATTACAAAAATACTCCTATAAATTATAAAAAGTTAATTATTAAGATATATTTTACAAGCGATTTATTTATCTATTTATTTTACATAGCAAGAAAGTATTAGCGTCTTTTACAGTCTACTCAAATATATTGTAATGCACGTAATGTAATGTAAAGTATGCTACCGAATGCAATGTATGCTGTACATTACATTCACCAGCATACACTACAATCTATATTAGCATCAGTATACATTACTTTCTTCAGACTATTGCAAATTGTGACAATCAGTGCAACATTTTCAAACAATATAAAAATGTTTAGAAAATGTTTTGTAATGTTTCATGTATATTAACAAAACGACAAGTAACATGTAACATAATAATAAAAAAAAAAAAAAAAAAAAAAAAAAATAAATAAATAAATAAAATAAAAAAAAAAAAAAGGAAAAGTATAAAGTGTATTATAATGCTTAAATTATGCTAAATAAGATAAATTGTGAACTTAAATAAATTAATAAATGAAACATATGATTAAATTTTTTAGATTATAACTTTTAAGATAATTTTTGAAGAAAGAATGACATATTAATCAAAGTCAACCAGTTATTACATTTTGAGAACGCATTTGCTATTGTTATCATGAATGTTCATTTTACATTTGCATATCGTTGATTTCAGCTGATTTAAAATTGTTCGGTTTTGAAAATTAAGGATTAATTTAAGTTTAAATAAATAAAATATAAATTTAAGCTAGAAGGGAAAAATTATAATCTTAGTTATTCTGCCTGACGGTTTTTCTCACAGATTTCAAATAACAAGTAAGAAAAAATTTTTTTGAAAGTTTTCAGATTTTAAATTACGTCCAAAGGGGCGTTTTTTTAACGTTTTGTGTGTTATCTTTATTTATTAAATATCATGTTCTACGTACTCAAACTATAAAATTCATTTCAACAGCAATATCGTAAATTAATTTTAAAATGAGCATATCTTTAGAATTTCCGGTGCAGAGTCTCGCGCGCTGGAGATAAAAATGTGTTTTTTTTCGTATAGTGTTGCCATTGTTCACTTTGAAACCGTTTAGTTTTTTAACGAAAAATTCGTTGAAGTGTTACAAAATATGAAATCGATAATAAAAACAATTTTAAGATCTAATTAGGGCTTTCACATATCCATATTCTATGGAATATTACGTTATTCAAATTTTGGTGGCTCTAGGTACCGCTGTTTAATCACAATGCGAGAAACATACATACATTTATGCAGATTCTTCATTATTTAATTTCTTTAAATATAAGACAGGGCGATATAGTATGGTAAAAAGTCATAGAGCCTTAAAGTTTTCGACGCAAAATACCAAAACGAAATTAATATTCCTTCAGAGCAAATTACCCCTTTGGAATAAAAAGTATGAAAGTGTTCCGATTTTGATAGTCACCCAAAAAGGCTCTTTTAAAGCTGAATGTGATTCAATCGGGAAGATAAATATTTTAAATTTTGCGGAATGCCAACAGACTCGCATGGAAAACGAATCAACGCAAAATCGAGTTTCTAGATTAATAGCTCATTTGGGCTAACAAATTTAATAGATTCTGAGATTGAACCCAAATTTATTTATTATTTATTATATTTTGAGAAAATGATTTCTCATGCATTGAAATTAAAGAAATCTTTGAAGGTTAATCATTGATTTATTTTTCTGTTATTGTAAATATACATGTATTTTACTTTCAAAAAACATCCTTTATGTCTACTATACACCGTGTCCATAAAAGTCTTTACCCGCGCTTTATCTTCGCAACTATTGGTTATAAATATTATATATTTCAAGTTAAAATTTTTTAAATGGCCCTAATATTTATGTTATGGCATTATTAAAATAAAAAAATAGCTTTTTATATTTTAAAAATATATATATTTTTATGTAAATATTTTTATAGTTTTATACTTTTTTATAGTTAAAAACCAGTTTATGGTATTATTAAAATTTTAAAAAATAGTTTAATATAATTTTACGGAAATTGCAAAATTTATTTTTTTATACTGGCCTCTATACTTAGAAAATTTTGTACTTAGTTTAAAAAACAAAAAGTTTGATTCTCGGATGACAAAAATTGAATGAGATATTTAATTTCAATATTAGGTATACTTGACATCATTTTCATTTTGCCATGAGGGATCGGTTAAAAAATAAATTACAAAAATTCGATGTTGATCTCCCCCTTAAACGCATTTCAATAAATTTATTATTATTATTTACGAGATATTCGTCATTCTTTAATTTATGTTACCACTGATATGCCCCCACTAAAAAAATCCAATTCATTTAAACAATTTGTAAATTTCCAATTGGTTATGGTAAATTACTAACGCTGCTATGAAGTTTTATTACTATGGAATCATAACCTGATAAATACATTCAAAACGTGCAAAAATTCAATATAACATACAAAACATTCATGAAATATAAAAATTTCTTAAAGGGGTAACAATTTTATTTTCTAATTAATGATAATAATGCTTCGAGTTGACTATGTGCCGATATTGATACAAGCCAATATTTTCTAAAACGCGTATTCTATAAAATTCTGCGAATAAGCCAGCAAAGAATGGTGCTCCAAAATGCAGTTACTGCAATGGAGGAAATGTATTCAGACGAACACGGAAGGGAGGATTTCCTGGTTATTTGATCCTCAAAATTCGTGCAAAATGGGGTAAGATGCTAAGGTTCATAGAACATTATCATCCTGAAAAAGCAGTAGTAAGCCATTGCAATGACAATATCATGTTTTGCTTTAGGAATATTTTAAAACGTAGACAGAATCAAATCATCCTGAATAAATTTTAAATAGAAAAATGACCAGCGAAAAGAAAAAAAAAAAATTAGAAAGACAGCAGCTATCTAATAATTTTATGGAACAGAATTTCCCGCTTTTCAAACAATAACATTTTGCGTCTCTGGCTTCTTCACCGTTTCCTACTACACGTTGAACTCTCCTTAGTAGAGACATATACTCTCCTTAGTATATGGTAAATTTTATTCACACTTTTTATTTTTTATACCTTTAGTATTATGCTAAATATTGTGTATGTTAATATCGCATTATGTGTTAGATTTAATGAATTCCATCAATTTTGCATTACAAACCTGCATACAAGGTATCCTTTTGCAAGCAATCATTTTACATTAAATTCTATGTGGAAAATTGTTTCGATTTACGAATACTACCGGTGACGAACTATCTTCAGGAACGAATTAAGTTTACATTTCGAGGTTTCATGGCACTTGGAACCGAGGGAACGTATAAAAAGCCGAATTTCGTAATTTATAAAAAAGTTTTGTTTTTAAAACTTAAAAATATCAAAACATGGATATTTGCCTTATTTAAGACGATTTTAATGGATGTATATGTTTACAATCAACTGAGAACATGTTGCAGTTTCCTCAAAGTATTTTTTTTTATTTTATTTTGTGAAATTACTTCTTCATGTTATTTAAATCAAATGAACAGATAAGGAGTAACAAATATTTTTCTCTTTTTGATCAAACGGGATCACGAATGAAAAATATTTAAGTTTCTTATATACAGAGCTCAGAAATTGGTTTTAATATTTTTAACTTCTAATATTTCGATGATCAAGAAAAAAGGTATGAAATAAAATTTTCATCCTTTTTTCTTGATTTATTTTTCAGTAATCCCCAAACATCACAAATGTTTAGTTTTTACTGTTTTAAAAGTGTTTCCGATAACATGATAAACAGATTAAACACATCGATAACTTTTTCTGCATTTTTATATCTTTATCAGATCTATGTTACTGAAAAATACACTGCTTGGAATTAAATCATTAAGGTGGCATAGAATCTCATAGAATATTTTACATAATAGTAAGCTAGTTCTGGAAAAAAAATAGCGATATCTTTGCTTTTGTTTTCCTTTTTAAATTTTTTTACACCTTTTTCAGAATTATACTACTTAAATATAACAATTACAATTAAAGCATTAAAGTGACCTCAAATAATAATTTGCATTATAAGTTAATTCTAAAAAATCCCATTATAACTTTTCTTCTATATTTTTGTATATTTTCTTCAGAATTGTGGCTTTTTAAATATCATACTTAAAATGTAAGCATTAAGGAGGTATATGATCTCAAATATAAATTTAGGCGATGAATTAAATAACACCAATGACTTTTCTACCTATTTATTTAGTTTTCAGAAGCATGTAATTTAAATATTATATTTAGAATTTAAACTTCGGGGTAACATACAGCCTCGTAGAATAATTTCTCCGATAAATTAATTCTAAAAAACACATCGCTGACTTTATTCTACGCAATTATTTCTTTTTCGGATTTATGCTGCTTAAATACCAAAGCTAAATTTACAGCAATAAGATGACGCAGAATAATTGGCCAATGGAGGCTTTATAGAATAATTTGCCCATTAAATTTACTCTAAAATTAAAAAAGCTACTTCATTTTTAAAAATTTTTACATTTGATACCGAAATAGCAAGTCAATTTACGATCGATTTTCATTTTTCTGCATAGCATTTGATCAAGTTTGTAAAAAGATCTCAAGAAAATCCGAAATTATTTTTATATTCAAAATATCAGTATCTAACAAAACTGATGCGAACTTACCTACCAAAGAATATTTTGATAAAGAATCTCTTTTTTTTTTCTTCTAGCACTGTGATACTCGGTTTCCAACGACAATGATTAAGAGTATCACAAAACTGCGTATTTTTATATAACGGTTGACGAAAAGTGAAACTGAATGATAAAACTGCGTAAGTGTGCAGCTTCCGAAAGATATGATAATTCATTGCGTGCTGGATTGTTTCCTCATATCAGTTATAGTTCACAATATACAAATCGAATATGGAAAAAAACAACTGAAATTAAAAATAAGGAAATTTTAGACAAAATTTTCCCTATTTTCCTGAACTAAATTTATCAGTATAAAGGTTCATAAATTTTGGCTTATGCTTTTGATGATTTTCTTAACGGTGGATTACATTCTGAAAATTTAGAAAAAAAAAAAAAAAAAAAAGCTAATATTTTCTTTAATAAGTGATTCATAATTCAAAAATAATCACACATAGCTTTTTGTAGTTTTATATAGACACATTTTTATTTGCAGAATTAGGTTAAAGCAGTAATCATTTAAACAACGTCTTTCCAAAATTCGAATTGTTGTTGGCAAAACGTTGAAATCAAAAGCCCTTTTCTTTTCCTTTTTTCTTTCTCCGGAATCTTTGGCATAGAGGTAGTCTCGTGAAATACTTTACGAAATTTGTGTATCGTTGCATCATGCAGGAATGCATTAAACAGGTGTATGAATGGAAATCTATTGACTCTAAATGAATTAAAAATAAGCGCTAATTCTAAAGTTTATATAAATATATCAATATATAAAATATTGATATATTTATAATCAACCCGATGAATTGCAACCCGATGTTGCCCGGCATTTCCGCAGAGTTAAAAGACTTAAACCCCTGCTTTAAACTGTTTTGGAAAGTTCTGTAAACTGATTTTCTCTATTCTAAAGGTTTAATGAACATAGAGCGAATAAAAAATTTTAATAAGAACTGATAGCGGAAAACGGAAAGGGAGGAGTGACAGTATAGATTCGAAGCATAAAATAACTGCTTCTTTAAAATAAAATGCCTTACATTTTCTTAAATGTTGATCTTAAATAGGTTCTTTCAAACATTTCCTTTCATAATAATAAAATTATTTCTTTAAATGCTAGTCTTAGACATTCACTTTAAATTATTTCGCCTCATAATAACAAAATTCTTTCTATAACTATTTATCTCAAACATGTACTTCTAGTCATTTGATTTCATAATAATGAAATTTCTTTAAATAAGCCGAGTTCGCTAGCTCCCAATGTGAATGACTCTTTAGTGAACCCCGCTGTTGGAGAAACTGGAGATTTTATTTTCACTACTGCAGAAAATCTAACCACAAATTCCATGACTACCAAGAGAAAAATGTCACAAGCATTAGTATTATAGCCTGATACTTTAAAAAATATCGTTTCCGTCCACAAACAATCTGTAGTTGATGCAACTGATATCGCCAGTGCTCATCAAGCTAAAGAAAATAGCGAACAGCTTATTCTTATAATAAAACCGTGAGATCTTCTGTGGAAAAAATGTATTTCTATTCAGAAGTCTATGTGATTCTGGGCAAATAAATATAAACAATGATAGTGTTGAATGAAGAAAGGAAACTTTTACCAGATCCTTAGGTTTCTAATAGATACAGAAAATCATGTATTAAACCTGACATATTAAAAATCATTGAAAAACCCAGCGTATGTTTTACCAAAAATACAAAATGAAACCATAAATGCTTAAAAAAACTATTTTGGAAAAGATCGTTTAAAAAACGAATTGCAAGCAAATGTTTTTCGATTATAGCTGATGAAACTACAGAAATTTCTTCAAAAAAGTAAGTACCTTTTTTTATGACATATGGTAAAAAACGTGAAAGGAAAACTAATTTAATTGAAAATTCTTCACAGTTTGTACTGTACGGTCGACACGCAGAGAAAAGCAATGATCTGGGATATTCAAGCGCGTCAAAGCTAGTGAGAGATTTCCTTCTGCGCTTTACGTGCGCTGTGCTTCTCATTCCCTCAGTTTGGCAATTTATAATGCATAATCGTAATAGCATGGGAGGGATAGAAGAATGTTATTCCTTTAAAAACACTCCAAAAAAGTTCTATTTTGAAAGAAAAATTTGCGCCAGTCTTTAAGAAAAGAATCTCTGAAAAAAACTTTGTCTTACTCTTTGGATAAAGACACCAGAACCTGGTATGGTTATGACGGAAATACTAAGCCCTTGATTCACAACCCTAGAAATTATAGAGAACTAGTATCACGAAGAATAATTTTCTGGGGCTTATAAACTCTTGAATTTATCGAAATGTTCTGTTTTTGAGATTCCATTATTTTCAGCCACAAAATGATCTTATCGTTACATAAATATATTTAAACACATATAATATATATTTCGTTCCAAAAAAGTAAGATTTTTTCAGTCAAAACCAGTAGATCTCACTGCAGCAATTCAGGTATGTGACGAAATTTTAAGAAAACTAGCAACTATTCGTAGAATTTTGTAAGGTTTATTCTAATTTTTTAACAGTTATCTTTAATTAAAGCTACTTTCCTGTCCTTTCTAATTTCAGCTTAGAATTTCCTGTGTTTTTAGAATCGCGTTTAATGCAAATAAGAGTGGTATTTAAGTCAAAGTTCCACTGACTTCGGGAGAGGGCCTCAGAGTTTCTGACTAGCGCGCGTTTGCCGTTTGGTTACGTGTCTCTCTAAGCTATTATTACGCTCGGCCGAATTTCAAGCCCTTGATAGCTTCGTTAGCTTATTCGATATTTAGGGGACAACTACTTAGAAATTTGATAGCTTCTGCTGTATCTTTTTAGTTAAGCATTAATTAAGTCTTATTTCTAATTACTTTGAGTTCAAGCGCAAGTGGAAGCTTTGCTGTACGTTCTTGAGAAAGAAGCCAACTGTTAAACTCTTATTTTTAATAATAAAGGGTAATTAGCCCTTCTTGAGTTTACGACTCTGTTCCCGAACTAAAGCGATTATTCGCTTAACTGTTCACGAGGTTCCTACACATTTAACTATTAGACAAAAGGGTGGAACCCCATAAATTCAAGAAAAATTTTCAGTGTAATTTGTTCAGAGTCGGGCACAGTTCTAAAGCAAATAAACGAAGAAGAATTTGAAATTCCTCTTCCTTGATTGGCCGGCAAGCAAAATGTCATTTTAATGTTGTAACTGAATCTACCAAATCCTATCAGCGTATATCAGTTTTTAATCAATTCTTGAATGGTGTCATCTTGCATTTAAACGAACATTTCATTAAATATAAAGAAATCTTAAATTCTTTTAATATTTTTTTTTTCAGAAAGAATAATTGAAATCCTCTCAAAGTTCAGAAATCTATTCTTCCGATTTATGTGATTTTAATATTGGTATTTTAAATGCCGAATATCAACTTTGGCAGAGAAAATTACACGAAGAGGAAAATAGTTTATCTGCAATAGAAGCTTTAGAGTCCTGCAATTAAGAGATTTTTTTTAAATATATAATGTTTTTAGAAATTAAATGGCAGGAGCAAAGAATTAGTTCTCATTCAATATATTTCAGGTTTTTCAAAAACATTTTGTATGCACATTTGTTTCAAGCTTCAGTTAAACAGAAAAGTCCACGACACACACATTATTAAAAAAATTATTATTTCTACGGCAATTACGTCCGTTCCTACGTCTGTTTAAGCTCCTATGTAGAGCTGTATTTTATTTTCCTAACAGTTATTTTTTATTTTGAAAACAGGCTTCCATCCTCATTTTCCTACTTACGCTTTCCTACCAGATTGTGTTTTCATTTTTACGCTTTATGCAAATTAGGGCCGAAATTACTATTTCAGCTGAGGTCTGATCTACTTCAGACAGAGCGTACTCTGCCTTTTGGCCACGTTGTTCGTTACTAGTCAAATTTGATATTTTACGGCCACGCATATTAATTGTCTGTTAATCTACGCCGGTGATATTAGCCAAGAGCCAACTGCGCATTAAATATATCTGTGTAGCTTCGGCTGATTATTCAACGTAGAATTACCTTAGTTTTACGTTTTCTAAGTTAAATCCATAAGTGTTACTTATTTGTACGTCTAAGTTGTGTCATCTGTGAATCAGTCCGAATTAAAATAAAAGAGTATTTTAATCAAATTTCTGTTCTTGTTGCTGACCCAGTAGAACCTAGCAAATAGTCGCTTTATTCAAGTAACTTTAATTTATCTAGTGCACTATAGTCCACTTATGCCCATTTATGTCCACAGCAATTATTAAAACTTCTCTGTCCTTTTTTGAAAATGTAAGCTCGCTTGCATTTTTAAAAAAGGACATAGAAATGCTCAGCTAAGATCTTATATTAGAAAAGGCAAACATAAAATAATTAATTATTCTTTGCTTTGAAGCAGTGGATGTCAACAATTTGTAAAGCAATTTAAATGGAATCCAAAGTTTCCGAATTTTTAGTTCGGAAAACAGATAAAATGTTATTTTTATATATTAAAAATTGTGAATTTTTAAGATTCCAGTAATACAATCAATAGGTTGCTGTAAGCCTTATTATTATGATCTAATTTTATGATTTGCACTGATAAATTAAGAAATAGAAGATAAGTTTACGATAAATGAAGAACAGTTAAACATAAATTAATAAACAGAAATTTTAGTTGTCCAGTGTTCTTATAAAATGTTCTGCCATTTTTTTGTCATCTAAAAATTCTATTTTTCTTTGGTGTTAACGAGGCGATTATCTCTCTCTGACAAATATACTTTGTCGGTCAAAGGGTGAAGTGTTTATGATAAAATGAAGAATTCAAATCCAAGGTAAAATTGAAAGAAATGAATTTATCTAAAAGCAGTTTAGAGCATATCTAAAGATTTCATTAGAGAATTTTAAAATAATTGTAAAAATTGAAAAGAATTAAACAAATAGCAAATATTTAAAAAAATAGTTATTGTTATATTTAATGAAAGTTTTTACGTACATTACATTTCTTTGATTTTTGCCGTGCCGTTATCGCATTGACTGATAAAAGTAGGTTTCCGTTGTGCTCTCGGAAGAGGAATAAATAAATAAGTAACTCAACAACTTTATGACATCACTTCTTGAGTACTTTCAGTTGTGCTTTTATTAGTCATTCTATTTTTGGTTTTGTGTATGTATTAAAGAGATAAAATGCAACTTT